GACTTTCAAGGAGTGGGGTGGGAATGAGCGGGTGGGGAGTGGGTGCGAGATCAGCCAGGCAGGGGACTTGGGTGGAAGCGGCCGCGATCAGAGGCAAAAGAGGCCAGACCTGTGGGTTCTTCCTCTTTTTCTAGGGACCTGGACTTTACTACATAGACGATAACGGGGTACGCCTGGGTGGCCCCCTCTTTTCCACGGGAAGCGGGAACTGCTATGCCTATGGGATCCTGGACAGCGGCCATTGCCCCGATCTCAGCGTGGAGGAGGCCTACGAACTCGGCAGGAAGGCCATCTCGTACGCCACCCACCGCGATGCCTACTCAGGTGGTGTGGTGAACAGTAAGTGCCCCCCACCCTCATTCTGCAGTCCCAGCCCCACGTCCCCCTTGTTTGGTGAGAGCCTGCTTTCATTTTGCACAAGCTCACTGGTGTGGTGGTACCTCTCTGTCGCCCCGTGCAGTGTATCACATGAAGGAAGACGGCTGGATCCGGGTCGGGCGCACAGATGTCAGCGATCTGCTCCACCAGTACGCCGAAGCCAAGAAGTGAGCGGCCGGGAACCACGAGGAACGTCGGATATGCTTCAACACTCAGGGGCGAAGGGCAGAAAGGGACAGAGCTACATTTATGACGGGGCAGCAATAAAGTATTTTCATTGATAAAGTCTTTGATTCTTTGCTGGTGTCTTAAAAAAGATTTTAACCGGTCTGAAGTAGCATACAGGATACACGTAGGGGGAGGTTCTGGACTGAACATTTGGGAATTATTGCGTTCAAGATAAGCATATCCACGACAGCTTCACTGGATGATTTTAGATGAGCAGGACAGGATATTTTATTTATTATTCTTCCTCTTTTTCTCACTTGTGTGAGAATGCAGATATAGTGGTACCTTGAGTTACATACGCTTCAGGTTACAGACTCCGCTAACCCAGAAATAGTACCTCGGGTTAAGAACTTTGCTTCAGGATGAGAACAGAAATCGTGTGGCAGCAGCTAAAGTGGTGCTTCAACTTAAGAACAGTTTCAGGTTAAGAACGGATCTCAGGAACAAATTAAGTACTTAACCTCTTAATCTGAGGGTAAGTACCTCTTTCAGCAGATTAAAATCACCATCCGTTTGCCGTTTATCTTTAGAAGCTTTTGGGGAAAAGGTTGCTTAACCTTCTAGACCAATTATGATATCCAAAGATGCTTAGGCAGACTTGAATTCCTTTTCTCCATTCTGTTTCCCTCTTAACGAAGAAATCACTCACAGACTGCTTAAGTAAACAAAAAAATATAAGTTTACTCACATTAAAAGCCTTGCCAGGATTCAACAAGTACAGTGATAAAAATCAGGCAGGCAATAATCCTTAAAAGTTACAAAGTCCGTAGTCCAGTTCAAAATGGAGTGGCCTTGGCTGTCCTTGAATCTTGCTGCCACACTTAAACTGAGTTGGGTCGTTAGTCCACCTGCCCCAATATTGCCTGCACTGACTGGGCAAGGCTCCCCAGGGGTTCTGAGAGGGGGACTCTCCCAGTGGAGATTCTGGGGGTGGCACCTGGGGCCTTCTGCATGAAAAGCAGGTGTTCTAATGCTGAACTACAGCCCCCCAAAGGCTTTCTCCAGAGCAGTGTTTCTCAACCTGTGGGGTCCCCAGGTGTTGTTGGACTAACAAGTCCCATCATTCCTAGCCAGCATGACCAGTGGTCAGGGATGATGGGAGTTGTAGTCCAACAACATCTGGGGACCCACAGGTTGAGAACCGCTGCTCCAGAGTCAAACCACAACAGTTGTTCTTAGCCCTTTGTGTCCTCACCCACGTGGGTGTCTTGTGGCACTGCAGTTCCAGGAAGCTCAACTGCTCTCCGTTAAGGAAGTATCTGCAGTCATCAAGCTATTGAGAAGATCTGGGAGGTGTTTTCTGGCTCTCTCGGTTTTGCACAGCAGAACAGTGAAGCACAGCCCTTTCTGAGATGCTGACGAGCCCCTCTGGTTTAGGTTTGCTGTGGGGACTACAGGGTCTGCATCTTCTTCCTCATCTCATTGCCTTCCACATAAAGTGTATGCAGAGGGTTCATGTAGATCAATCCTGATATGGGGGAGGGGGTGTCCAATGCCTGTTGCTCATTCCTCGTTCTGCCTTTTGCAGTCCATGTAGCTCAGCATTGTCCACACCAGGGACTAGGAATAGGAATAGGAGGAGGAGGAGGAGGAGGAGGAGGAGAAGAAGAAGAAGGAAGAAGAAGAAGAAGAAGAAGAAGAAGAAGAAGAAGAAGAAGGAGAAGAAGAAGAAGAAGAAGAAGAAGAAGAAGAAGAAGAAGAAGAAGAAGAAGAAGAAGAAGAAGAAGGAGAAGAAATTTATTTATATCCTGTCCATCTGGCTGGGTTTCCCCAGCCACTCTGGGTGGCTCCCGACAGAGTATTAAAAACATGATAAAATATCAGACATTGAAAACATTAAAAGTTCTTTATCTCCTTCACATCTGGTGGGAGGGCGTTCCACAGGGCGGGCGCCACTACCGAGAAGGCCCTCTGCCTGGTTCCTTGCAACCTCACATCTCACAGGGAGGGAACCGCCAGAAGGGCCCTCGGAGCTGGACCTCGGTGTCCGGATGAACGATGGGGTGGACATGTTCCTTCAGGTATATAAAGCATTTTGGAGGGTGGGGAATATCTAAACTGCCCTTCACCCAAACCTGGAAAGCGAGGGATGTGTCTTTAATTGAGTCCTGCTAGGGATTGATAGAAGGACAAATCCCGACAGTTGGGGAGAATCTATTGGAGAGAGAATTGGGGGGATGATGAGACAGTTATTCTTGTTGGGTTGGCTTTTATAGAATTGTAGAATTGTATATGGCCCCGCGGGTCCTCTAGTCCAACCCCCCTGCAAGACAGGGAATCGCAGCTAAAGAGACTGACAGGTGCTCATCCAGCCTCTGTTTAAAATCCTCCAATGCTGGACACTCCCACTACCTTCTCAAATAGCTCTTCCTGTCAGAAAGTTCTTCCTAACTTTCTCACTTCTCGCAGGGAGGGAACTGCCAAAAGGCCCTCAGCACTGGACCTCAGTGTGGAGAATGATGGGGGTGGAGACGCTCCTTCAGGTATACTGGACCGAGGCCATTTAGGGCTTTCAAGGTCAGCACCAACACTTTGAATCGTGCTCGGAAACGTACTGGGAGCCAATGTAGGTCTTTCAAGACCGGTGTTATGTGGTCTCGGCAGCCGCCCCCAGTCACCAGTCTAGCTGCCGCATTCTGGATTAGTTGTAGTTTCCGGGTCAGTTTCAAATGTAGCCCCACGTAGAGCACATTGCTGTACTCCAAGCGAGAGATAACCAATGCATGCACCCCTCTGGCGAGACAGTCCGCGGGCAGGTAAGGTCTCAGCCTCCGTACCAGGTGGAGCTGGTAAACAGCCATCCTGGACACAGAATTGACCTGCACCTTCAATCCTCTCAGTTATGTACCCTCTCGCTGTCTGTCATGTTCGATTTAGCTGAGGTTCCTGCATTAGGGAAGCTTTTAATGTTTACTAGATTATTGTATTAAGTTGCTGGGAAAACTCAGCCAGATGGCGGGTATAAATAATGTTGTTGTTGTTGTTATCATCACAGGAGGTTGGACTAGATGACTCTGGGGTTCCCTTCCAAGGCTACAATTCTCTGTTTCCATACGTTCCCAACATTTTCCCAATGAAAATAGGGACATCCTATTACATAATGATGATAATTTTATTATTTATACCCCACCCATCTGACTGGGTTGCCCCAGCCACTCTGGGCATCTTAACACCATATAAAAAAATAACAAAACATTACAAAACTTCTCTATACAAGGCTGCCTTCAGATGTCTTCTAAAGGTTGTACAGTTACTTATCTCCTTGGCTTGGGGGACGCATAACTCTGTACCCTCCAACATTTCCTGATGAAAATAGGGACGTCCTAAGGAAAATGGGATCAAATCAGAAACTGGGGTGCCTTCTGGAAATCCAGGACCCTCCCTGGAAAATAGGGATACCTGGAGGGTCTGACTTTGATCCCTGCCCATCGTGGCTGATAAAATCTAGCAGGGAGTTGTTCACATAGCTGTCAACGTTTCCCTTTTTTAAAATTCCCTTATTCTGAATAGGATTCCTCACAAGAAAAAGGAAAAGTTGACAGCTATGGTTGTTCAGTAGAGATATCTTTTCCAAATGAGAGCAAGGGCATCAAGTGATATTGCAAGCTCACATTTCTTGTCCAGTTTGTATACCTGCTTAAGGTACGTGATAGGTATGAGACTTGTTTATATTTTGGGAATGTTTCCTGTTCTTCTCTAGCTGCAATGTTTTAGACCAGGGGTCAGCAAACTTCTTCAGCAGGGGGCTGGTCCACTGTCCCTCAGACCTTTTGGGGGGGGCGGACTATATTTTGGGGTGGGGGAAATGAATGTATTCCTATGCCCCACAAATAACCCAGAGATGCATTTTAAATAAAAGGACACATTCTACTATAGCTGTCAACCTTCCCTTTTTTTTGCGGGAAATTCACTTATTCCAGCGCCGTTTCCCGCTGCTATCCCGGATTGTTAGATATCCCATAGTCTGTCCCCGGGACAGGTGAGGCTGCTGATCCCTTATTTTCAAATCTGAAAGTTGACAGCTATGCATTCTACTCATGTAAAAACATGCTGATTCCCATACCGTCTGTGGGTCAGATTGAGAAGGTGATGGGGCTGGATCCGGCCCCCAGGCCTTAGTTTGCCTACCCCTGTTTTAGACTTTATGGATGCCCCGCACTCATATTACAAAGTATTTGCGTCCTGTGCTATAAATCAAGCACTGTTGCGAGTTGTTCTCCAATGTATTTCGTATCAGTAAAAAAACTGGGAGCGGCGCGAGCAAACATTTTTCCTGAAAATGTCAGCCAAGAGTTTGAGAACCGCTTGCGAGGGAGGTTTTCTAAAGCGCAGGCGGCGGGCTCCCTCTGGCGGCCGAAGCGGGGAGCGCGGCCGCGTGGGCGGGGGAAGGGAAGCGGCTGGATTTCCCCCTTCGAAAGCGAAAGTTGGCACCGGTTCGAGCCCCCGCGAGCGCAGAAGAGCTCAGTTCCTCCCTGGGAGACCGGAGGGCAGGTAAGGCGGGCAGGGAGAGGAAGGCCAGGGGGCTGTGGGGTGGGAGACCCAGGATAAGGGCATCAAGGGGGGGTTGGCTGGGGGGGAGGGGTGCATCAAACGCGGGGGGTTTTCAATGCAAATCGGGGAGATGTTGCAAAAGAGGCTCCCGCGCAATGTTTGATTTCTTCTTTTGGGGGGGGGGTTACTTAATGTAAAATAATTTGTAGTCCCTGAGATCGGATCTGCATTTTTGCAGGGCTGGGGCACACACAAACACACAATAAAAATTCGCCCCACAATAAATATTTCCCCACCTTTTAAAACCATCCCATTTCAGTTTTATTTTCTGATCGGAGATGGAAAATAATAATAATAACTGTGACAAGAAAGAACCCGGTTCCAGAAAGGGCAGCCCTGTCAGTCTCTTCGGAGCAAAATGCCCCAAACTGGAAAAAAAACCCCAAAGTTAGGAAAGTGGCTTCTTCTGGGTCTTTAAAGGTTTTTATCACTTTCTGCGCAGTCTTGGGCAGTCTAACTCAGAGGTAAGAGTAAGCCCCCTTGATTTCAGTAGGGACTTACTTCTGAGTAACGGGCCTCATGTGTACTATTCATTTAAGCAGTACTGTATAATATTGCCTTAAACAGTCCTGTCCTCTCCCAAAGCCTTCTGGGAACTGTCGTTTCAGGCTTCAGAAAGTTGTTAGGAGATTTCGGTTCCCAGAGGAGTTTAACAATCAATCCCTTTTCCCAGGGAACTGAAGTTCTGTGACGTTCATGCTGTTAATAATAATAATAATAATAATAATAATAATAATAATAATAATAATAAATACCCCATCCTCCCCGACCAGAGCTGGGCTCAGGGTGGCTAACACCAGTAAAATTACAGTAAAAACATAATAGGAAAAGGGGGAAAAAAACAATTTAAAATACAGGTTAAAATGCAATTTAAAATGCAGCCTCATTTTAAAAGTAGCCCACAGATGTTAGGATTGCTCTTTAAGTGCCATAGGATAGCTTACCTCTGGCTCCTCTTAAGCACAGTGCAATTTTATTTTACAAAGTGCTCAACAGTCATAGAATCACAGGGCTGGAAGAAACCACGGGGGTCATCTAGTCCAACCCCTCAAGGCAGGAATCTTTTGTCCAACGTGGGACTCGAACCCACAACCCTGAGATTAAGAGTCTCATTCTCTACCGACTGAGCTATCCAGTAGCTGCTCTCATGAGAACCCACCAAGGCCCCAGTGGACTCCATTGAACACACTGGGAGTTGTTTCTGGGTGAGCATAAATAGGATTGTGCTACTTGCTGGTGAGGACACTGCCATGCCCATTTTACAGCTGGGTAACTGGGACTGACAGAAAGCGTCTGGAGGGTGGGATTTGTGCCTGGCATCCCTTTAGGCCAGGGATGAGGAACCTCAACCTGGTACCCTGGTACTACAGTTCCCATCATCCTCAGCCACTGTCTATGTTGGCTGGCACTGATGGGTGTTGCTGTCCCTCCCCCTTTGGGGGGAGTGTCGCATGGGGAAGTGGAATTCAGCTTTGATGGTGATGATAATTTATTATTTATACCCCGCCCATCTGGCTGGCTCTCCCCAGCCACTCTGGGCGGCTCCCAACACAATATTAAAAACAAGATAAAACATCAAACATTAAAAACTTCCCTAAACAGGGCTGCCTTCAGATGTCTTCTAAAAGTCAGATAGTTGTTTATTTCCTTGACATCTGAGGGGAGGACATCTTATTACAGTCATACGTCGGAACTCAAATGGAATCTGTTCTGGAAGTCCGTTCAGCTGTTCCACAACCAAGGCGCAGCTTCCGATTGGCTGCAGGAGCTTCCTGCAGCCAGTTGGAAGCCTTGCTGGACGTTCAGGTTCCAAAGAACATTTGCAACCGAAATACTCACTTCCGGGTTTGCAGCATTTGGGAGCCAAAACATTCAACTGCCAAGGCATTTGTGATCCTTGGTACAACTGTATTATTATTATTGCTGTTGTTGTACAACTGTATTATTATTATTATTATTATTATTATTATTATTATTACTATTATTACTATTATTATTGGTGTTGGTGTTAAATTTATATCCCGCCCATCTGGTTGGGTTTCCCCAGCCACTCTGGGCAGCTTACAACATATATAAAAACACAACAAAACTTCAAACATAAAAAAAAATCCTATACAATGGTGCCCCGCAAGAGGAATGCCTCGCAAGACGAAAAACCCGCTAGACGAAAGGGTTTTGCGTTTTTTGAGTCGTTCCGCAAGACGAATTTCCCTATGGGCTTGCTTCGCAAGACAAAACGTCTTGCGAGTTCTTGCAAGTTTGTTTCCTTTTTCTTAAAGCCGCTAAGCCGTTAATAGCCGCTAAGCCGTTAATAGCCGCTAAACCGCTAATAGCCGCTAAGCCGCTAATAGCCATGCTTCGCAAGACGAAAAAACCGCAAGACGAAGAGACTCGCGGAACGGATTAATTTCGTCTTGCGAGGCACCACTGTACAAGCAACAAACAAACCAATAAATCAATAGCAACCAGTAACAATAACAAGAATAAAAAGTTTACAGTTCTACTCAAAATAACCGCCAGCCCCAAGTAAACATTTGACCAACACCAACCTGATAAAAACAAAACAGAGGAAAACGTTTTAAACATTTTAGCCAGTTGCCCCAACCCAGCAACGTCCCAGGGGCCTCCCAGGAGCCTCTTTTAGCTGCTCAAGGTGAGTCTGGGCTCCGCCCCCTAGGCCAGGTGGAAATGGGCCTTGCAGCAGGGAGCAGGTCTCCGTTCCAGCACTTGTGGCAGCAGCAAAGTGTGGGTTAGGCTGCTGAGATTCTCCCTACACAAACCCTCTCTCACATTTCAGACTCTTAATTACACCTGGCCATTCCTTCTCTCCCCAGACTCAGACGCCATGATGCTGCCTGCCCCCCTGAAGCTGGCTGTCCCTCTCATCCTGTGCGACATGGTCCTCCTCCCCTCGCTAGATCTCCAGCGCTCCGCCTTGGCCTCCCTGGGGGTCCCTGCGGCCTGGCTGGAGGCGGCTCTGCACCTGCTGGTTCTCTGTGGGGCTCGGGGGCTCCTCTCCCTGGCCTGGCCCTCCCAGGTGCCCCTCGCAGGCCTGGCTGCTGTGAGCTTGCTGCAGCCTCTCTATCTCGCCGTGGGGCGCTGGTTTGGAGACTCTCCGTTCCTGCTGTCGTCAGCCCCTCGGTCCTGGCTCCTGCTGGGCTATGGGGCAGTGGTTCTGGCCCACATCATCTGGGACGTCCTGGGACAAAGGGAGGAGGAGGATAAGGAGAACAAGGGAGGAGAAGACAAGGCCACCCTCTGGAAGCTGGTGAAGCTCTTCCGCCCAGATGTGTCCTACATCGCAGGGGCGTTTTTCTTCCTTACCACGGCTGTGCTTTGTGAGTAGGGTTGGTTTGCATGTGTGTGAGAGAGAGAAGTGGGAAGTGAGAGAGAGAGAGAGAGAGAGAGAGAGAGAGAGAGAGAGATACATATTACAGTGGTACCTCGGGTTGAGAACTTAATTCGTTCCGGAGGTCCGTACTTAACTTGAAACTGTTCTTAACCTGAAGCACCACTTTAGCTAATGGGGCCTCCCGCTACCGCCGCTGCGTGATTTCTGTTCTCATCCTGAAGCAAAGTTCTTAACCTGAAGCACTATTTCTGGCTTAGCGGATTCTGTAACCTGAAGCATATGTAACCCGAGGTACCACTGTATTTGGAAATAGAAGACTGTATATATGGTACACCTCCTTTCCACACAGGCTGTAAAAGCTTTATTGCCAGTGAAATGTAAATAATGGCCTTTTGAGGTTGTAACTCAATAACAAAGACCGAACAGGGAAAGGAAATAATCTGGTTTGTGTTTGGAAAGGAAGACTCTCCGCTCAAAAGGTTCGTACAAACAGGCGGAGGCTGGAAACTATGAGGGATAATGCGGGGTGGAAAGAAGAATGAAAGATTTAAATTACTATAACCTCACTCGTTGTTATTTGATATACAGTGGTGCCCCGCAAGACGAAATTAATTCGTTCCGCAAGTTTTGTCGTCTAGTGAATTTTTCGTCTTGCGAATCACGAAATCCCATAGGAATGCATTGAAAATCAATGCGTTCCTATGGTCAAAAAAAGTCCAAACAAAGCCAAATTTGGTACAACAACAGTTTATTAACTGCTCTTTAAAGTCACACATACTGTAAAGAGCAGTTCAAAAATTAAAGGGAAAATAAATTAACTTTATAAACATGACAGAAAAACATTTAAAAATCTCCAACTGTTCCCCCAGTAGAGGCTGGAAACTATGAGGGATAATGCAAGTTGGAAAGAAGAATGAAAGATTTAAATTACTATAACCTCACTCGTCTTTCTTTGATATACAGTGGCACCTCAGTTGTCGAATATAATCCGTTCCGGAAGACCGTTTGACTTCCGAAATGTTCGACAACCGAAGCGCAATGGGCGGTTGGGAAAATTTGACTGAGAAACACTCAGCGGAAGCTGTTCAACTTCGAAGGCGCATTCATAAACCGAGGTTCCACTGTAATTTTGTTTTATCTATATGCAGGAACTGGTAAAGGAACAGCTGAGGGATGAGGAGTTAATTAGAGTAGGGCTGCCATATGTTAGGAATTTCCCGGACACAGCCAGGATTTGGCCGGGGCGGAAATCGTTGGAACGTCCGGGAAAATGTGGGTGTATGGCAAGCCATGCAGGAAGTGTAGATTTTGGCAAAGTTCCTTATAAATAGTTTTTTGTGTAAAACTAAAAAAAAAGCTGAACACCTTTCTGCAATATGGGAACTCTAAATTAGAGATAGGTAAAGGTAAAGGGACCCCTGACCGTTAGGTCCAGTCATGGACGACTCTGAGGTTCATCTCACTTTATTGGCCGAGGGAGTCGGTGTACAGCTTCCGGGTCATGTGGCCAGCAGGACTAAGCCGCTTCTGGCGAACCAGAGCAGTGCACGGAAACACCGTTTACCTTCCCACTGGAGCGGTACCTATTTATCTACTTGCACTTTGACGTGCCTTTGAACTGCTAGGTGGGCAGGAGCTGGGACCGAGCAACGGGAGCTCACCCTGTCGCGGGGATTTGAACCGCCGACCTTCTGATTGGCAAGCCCTAGGCTCCGTGGTTTAACCCACAGCGCCACCCCGTCCCTTAAATTAGAGATAAATCTGTAAAACAAGTAGCATGTAAAAGGTGAAGGAATGGAATATATCTGAGAGTGTGGGGAATCCATTTTGGGGGTGGTGTGTATTAAATTAAGTTTACTTTGGTTTTGATGTGTTATAAATTTGAAGACGAATAAAAATTAATGGGTAAAAAGGAAATAAAAGACTATGTTTAATGTTAGAAGGTTCCAAGCTCAATTTCAGATAAAGCCATGTCCCCCATCTGAAATAATATTATATATTATATAATAGTATATTATTATTATTTCAGATGGGGAATATGCCTCCATCTGAAATTGAGTTTGGAACCTTCTAACATTAAACTATGGTCTTTTATAGTTCTGGGCGGCTCTCAAATCTTGGAGGAGCTCTGCCTGTCTGTGCAGGGAGGTGTTAATGGGGTGAATGGGCTCTTCCTGTGTTCCAAACAGTCCCCCCTCCCTATCTTCAAAGCACAAACTCTCTGCAGGTGAAACGTTCATCCCTTACTACACGGGACGCTTGATTGACATCTTGGGCAAGAAGTATGACTCGGATGCCTTCTCGTCCGCCATCTTCCTCATGTGCCTGGTGTCGCTCGGAAGGTGGGTTTCTTCCTGACAACACCCCCTGCCCAAAAAGCAAAGGAGCCCTGGCTCGGCTCGGCTGGGGTGTGTTCAGCTTTATCATAATCTGGGGAGTTAATTATTTCTTTGGAATTAAATTGAATTCAGAAAGCTGTTCGGGGGGAAAAGGGGGTGCTTGGAGAATTGCTTTCTACTGCAAAGGAAAGCCCCCACGTTTCCAGAATGTGACTCAAAAAGGTGATCACATCTTTGGGGGGCGGCAGAAGCTCCAATTTTGCCATTTCGATTCCTTCCCTCCAGAGTGGGACTCACACATTCACAGTTTCCTTTTGTAGAGCAGTCTCCATTTCTGTTCCAGCTCGCTGTCTGCTGGCGCACGCGGGGGACTCTTCACGATGTCCATCTCCCGGGCCATCATCCGGATCCGAAGCCGCCTCTTCTCTTCTCTCGTCCGGCAAGACCTGGCGTTCTTCCAGGAGGTGAAAACAGGTGAGAGCCCCCTAGCTCTAAACCCAGGCCTGCCTTTCAGTCCAGCCTCCTGAGTGTCCACTAGTCATAGCTGCCAACTTTCCCCCTTTTTAAAGGGGAATTCCCTTATTCCAAATAGGATTCCTCGCAAGAAAAGGGAAAAGTTGACAGCTATGCCTCTAGTGCACGTACGCTTGTGGTGGTTCCTCTTTGCAACACCCCTGTTATGATTGGGCCTTAAATATTCCCATTTTATGGGTGGCATAACTGAGGCTCCATGAGGAACGTCAAGATGTGAGGCTTTCCAGGATTTGAACTTGGGTCTCTCAAGATCCTGCTCCACCCACTCGAGTGGGCAACTCTTTTCATGTTTGTTTTTGCTGCCGAGTCCAGAGGTAAGGAATATCCTGGTGCCCTCCGAATATTATGGGACCCCAACTCCCATCATCCCTAGCCAGCATGCCCAGTGGGCAGGTATGATGGGAGTTACAGTACATCAACAGTGTCTTCTTTCCTTCATCTGTTCATCAAAGGACTTTATTCATCCGTCGGTCTGTCTCTCCATCCCTCCATCTGCTTATCCACCAACTATTTCTCCTTTCCATCCTTTTCTTAGAAAAGTGTTTTTCTTTTCACTTTCTCATGCACAGAAAGCAATAGTCACAACAATCAACAACAGAGTGAAAGAGGTGTTTCTTCCTGTCCTTGCAAGGTGTTCTGTCTTTTTTGCCCCAGTTGTTGCTGTTATCCTTCTTGCCTCAGGCGGAACTTTAAAAAAATAATAATATTAGAATGCACATTTAAAATTATTTTAAAAAACAACACAAAAAAACAATTGTTACAAAATACAGTGGTACCTCGGGTTACATACGCTTCAGGTTACAGACTCCACTAACTGAGAAATAGTGCTTCAGGTTAAGAACTTTGCTTCAGGATGAGAACAGAAATCGTGCTCCGGTGGCGCAGCGGCAGCTGGAGGCCCCATTAGCTAAAGTGGTGCTTCAGGTTAAGAACAGTTTCAGGTTAAGTACGGACCTCCGGAACGAATTCAGTACTTAACCCGAGGTACCACTGTATAAGCAAAATATAAGCAAAAGGGGATGCGCGTGGTGCTGTGGGTTAAACCACAGAGCCTAGAACTTGCCAATCAGAAGGTCAGCGGTTCAAATCCCCACGACGGGGTGAGCTCCCATTCCTTGGTCCCTGCTCCTGCCAACCTAGCAGTTCGAAAGCACATCAAAGTGCAAGTAGATAAACAGGTACTGCTCCAGCGGTTTATTCTGCAGTCTTGCTTAAAATGTATTTAGGAAGTGCAGTGTAAGCGATGGAAGTCAATCAGTGAAATTTTATTATTATTTCCATATTGAGATATTTGTAGAATTTTTAGAATGCGCTTTTGATCCCTCCCGTCTCCCGGCTCTGAGCGGCCTCTCCTTTCGCCCCACAGGAGACCTGACCTCCCGCCTCTCCAGAGACACCACCATGATGAGCCGCTGGGTGCCTCTCAACGCCAACATCTTCCTCCGCAGCCTGTTCAAGGTCTGTGGGCTCTGCGCCTTCATGCTTGGCCTCTCGTGGCGCCTGACCTTGCTCACCCTCGTTGAGGTGCCGGTCATGCTGGCGGCCCAGAAGGTCTACGATGCCCGCTATAAGGTGAGGAGGCCCTTGAGCTGCGAGTGCAAGAAAGGAAAGGGGAGCGTCTTCCCAGGGATTGCTGTTCCCTGTTTTCCAAACCTTAGAGAGATAGCCCCTCCCTGTGGATGAGAGGCAGGGTCCCATCAGAGGGGTGACATCAATGCCACACATTTTAACAGTCAAGGCTTCCCCCAAAGAATTCTGGGAACTATAGAATTATGGGAACTAAATGCAATGAGAGTTAATAGGAGGCCACTCACAGAGCTATTTCTCCCAGCACCCTTAACAAGGTACAATTCCCAGAATTCTTTGGGGGAAGCCGTGACTGCTGTAAGGGTGCTTTATAAATATATGGTGTGGATGTGAGAAGTGGGAATAGATAGACATAACATTTCACAAGGGCAGGAAGGAATACAGTGGTACCTCGGGTTACATACGCTTCAGGTTACAGACTCCGCTAACCCAGAAATAGTGCTTCAGGTTAAGAACTTTGCTTCAGGATGAGAACAGAAATCGTGCTCTGGCGGCGCAGCAGCAGCAGGAGGCCCCATTAGCTAAAGTGGTGCTTCAGGTTAAGAACAGTTTCAGGTTAGGTACGGACCTCCGGAACGAATTAAGTACTTAACCTGAGGTACCACTGTACCCCACTCATCTGGCTGGGTTTCCCCAGCCACTTTGGGCAGCTTCCAGCAGAACACCAAAATACAGTAACCTATTAAAAATCAAAAGCTTCCCTAAACAGGGCTGCCCTCAGATGTCTTCTAAAAGTTTGGTAGTTGTTTTTCTCTTTGACATCTGATGGGAGGGTGTTCCACAGGGAGGGTGCCACCACCGAAAAAGCCTGGTTCCCTGTAACCTCGCAGTGAGGGAACCGCCAGAAGGCCCTCGGAGCTGGACCTCAGTGGCCGGGCAGAATGATGGGGGTGGAGACGCTCCTTCAGGTATACAGGGCCGAGGCTGTTTTAGGGCTTTAAAGGTCAGCACCAACACTTTGAATTGTTCTCGGAAACGTACTGGGAGCCGGTGTTGTATGGTCTCAGCAGCCGCTCCCAGTCACCAGTCTAGGGAATAGATAGACATAACATTTTACAAGGACAGGAAGGGATACCATGGACGGAATAACTGACACACAGAGGAAGATATAGATATAGATATAGTTTGAATGCTTCACCTATGGGTTTATAAATCATTTAATGTGTCAAGACGAGTGGATGTCGTTAATATTGCAGTTGTTGAATAAGGGATTGTTGTTTTGACTAGAGTGTAATTGAGTTGGATGAGATTTTGGAACGCAGAAACAAAGCAAATCATCAAACCCATCAATTCTAGCATGCAGGAGGCCACCTAAATCATATAATTTGGTGTGGGAAAATGATTGCTTGTACATAAGAGCATGAGCAGAGTTCTGATTATTGCAGAGTGATTTTACAGCACGAGATATTGCTAAGAGCATGATGAGCACGTGACCACCTCATGCTAGACTAATGATTGGCTCACGTAGCATAACACTCTCTTTGTCTGTGGGCAAAAGCAAGGTTGCATTCCTTTGATTTGGTGCCTTTCAGTACCAGGCAGAGCAAGCGCAGTGCTGGAGGAGAGAGGATGATTTATTTTTTACTGCACACAATAAACATTGCGGCTGAAGCCAAAGCTTTTTCTTCAAGTCATCTTGGTGTGAGACTGATTTCTTACTGATTTTCTTACTGATGTCGAGCTGGTTTCTCGACAATTTGGCACCTGAATGATTGGGATTGGTGCTTGTATTATGATATGCCAACGTTATAATGAGGCTACCACTGGATTATTGTAACTAAAAACTAATAAAAATTATTGTTAAAAAAGAAGAAGTGATCTTCCCTAAGGAGCCTTTGTGTTTGACTCTGCTTGTGAGGCCAGCTGTTATGATTTTTAACCTTTTGTTACATCTGGCTGTTTTTAGCACATTGAATATTTCCACTGCTGCTTGGTTTTATTTTTCTATGCTGCCTGGATGGTTTTTTTTTACATGACAGGGAGTGTCAGGGGTTCAGGAGCAGAGGCACAGGAAAGGGAGGAAACAGAGAGCGAGGGGGAGGAATCCGAAGGTAATATGAGCGACGACAGCGGACCGAGATCTCTGAGTCTTTCCAGTGAGTCGGAAGATTCTCAGAAAGGGGCGCCAGTGGTCAGAGCAAGGGGGGCGCCTAGGGGAACACCCCAGGAAGAAGGGACCAGAGGGGGTTCAGAGAGCAGCAGTTGGAAATCGGGACCAGCGTCCCCACCAGAGCGCAGCAGGGGGGAGGAGTCCCAGGTATCGGGATCGGGCGGCTCTCCGCAAGAGGGAGGACAGGAGTCAGGATTGGCCACACCTCCATCGGGGAGCGAGGAAACGGTCAAGAGGAAGGTTGAAGGCTGTGCGCGCGCGCCAAGTTCAAATGCACAGGAAGGCGGCGCAGTAAGCAGCCCGGATAGAGAGCCAGGTCCTAAAGCCCGACGCAAAGAGGGAGAAGAGTCGGGGGGGTCAGCGTCAGAAGAGTCCAGGAAGGAAGAGACCACGGGGGGTAGAGGGACCCAGAGGAGAAAGGAAAGAAGGAAGAGGTGGAGCAAGGCGAGAGTATTAAGTTGGTGTACAGGGGGCGGAGACTCAGACGGAGCTTCGCCGGTCTAGCTTCTAAGACGTAGAGCTGCGCGCTGCGGCTTTGAAATGGAAACTGTAACTCAATAAAGACTTTTGTACAGTACTGCCGGCTAGCGTGGTCCTCTGTGAGCTGGGACCTGGAAGCGGCTCTGACAGGGAGTATTAAATATTTAAAAATAAACGGAATGGAAGGGAGTTGTGGTCGACTTGCTGGTCTCTTTGGATTTGGTAATGCTGTGGACCAGAGATAAGGAATCATAGAATCATAGAGTTGGAAGAGACCACAAGGGCCATCGAGTCCAACCCCCTGCCAAGCAGGAAACAACATCAGAGCACTCCTGACATATGGTTGTCAAGCCTCTGCTTAAAGACCTCCAAAGGAGGAGACTCCACCACACTCCTTGGCAGCAAATTCCACTGTCAAACAGCTCTTACTGTCAGGAAGTTCTTCCTCATGTTTAGGTGGAATCTTCTTTCTTGTAGTTTGGATCCATTGCTCCGTGTCCGCTTCTCTGGAGCAGCAGAAAACAACCTTTCTCCCTCCTCTAAGTGACATCCTTTTATATATTTGAACATGGCTATCATATCACCCCTTAACCTCCTCTTCTCCAGGCTAAACATGCCCAGCTCCCTTAGCCGTTCCTCATAAGGCATCGTTTCCAGGCCTTTGATCATTTTGGTTGCCCTCCTCTGGACACGTTCCAGTTTGTCAGTGTCCTTCTTGAATTGTGGTGCCCAGAACTGGACACAGTACTCCAGGTGAGGTCTGACCAGAGCAGAATACAGTGGCACTATTACTTCCCTTGATCTAGATGCTATGCTCCTATTGATGCAGCCCAGAATTGCATTGGCTTTTTTAGCTGCCGCGTCACACTGTTGGCTCATGTCAAGTTTGTGGTCAACCAAGACTCCTAGATCCTTTTCACATGTACTGCTCTCAAGCCAGGTGTCACCCATCTTGTATTTGTGCCTCTCATTTTTTTTGCCCAGGAGCCTGGTGCCGTCTAGAAACTGTTGGACTACAACTCCCATCAGCCCCACCCAGCAGGGCCAGTGGTCAGGGATGCTGGGAGTTGTAGTCTGTTGAACCCTGTTGTCAATCAGTCAAGTTAAGGTAAGCTAAAGCACACTCCCCTAAAGGAATCCTGGGAAGTGTAGTTTGTTAGGGGTGAGGGATAAACTACAGTTCCCAATGTTCTTTTGAGAGGGGAGAAATGGGCTTTGAACATTCTTTAAAGGAATGGTGTTCGCGTAGCCTGAAGCAATGGGATCTTGCAGCCAAACCCGGTAGTCGGCCCCCCTCTGGCGTTTAGCACAGGCTCCTAAACTCTCCCCTTTGCTTTCTCCAGGTTCTTCTGCAGGCGATCCAGGACTCCCTGGCGCGTTCTGGGGAGGTGGTGCGGGAGACAGTCTCCTCCGTTGAGACGGTGCGCAGTTTCGCCACTGAGGAGGAGGAGTCTGAGCGCTACGATGCGGCCTTGGCCGAGACCCACCGGCTGAAGGACCGGAGAGATTGGGAGAGGGCTGTCTACTTGCTCCTCAGACGGGTGAGTCCTTGGGGTCGTGAGTAGGGGAGGTCAGGAAGGGGACAAGCATCCTCTCAAGGAGAGCTGTCGCAGGAGAGCTTTCTGGAAACAGCACCCCTTTCTTTGGTTCTTCCATTGTCCAATCAGCTCGGCAGCTTTTTCAAGGTCACTGTTCACGTTGGAATATCGTGTGTTGGTGGTGTATTGGATTCAGTGGTCTGTGTTTGCCTGAGCTTGAGTCTGGACTAAGGATTCTGAGCTCCTGCGTTCGGATTCGATACATGATATCCAATCACAGAACATTTCAGGATTTGGGCCTCTGCCATTGGGCCTTAAACTCTGAGTTATGATTTGCAGTTTAGAAGTATAGACAGCCAATCGCGTTGGGAGTGGGCCATATATATATAAGCGGTTGCTTTGCCCCTGTGATCCAGTTCTGTTAGTTTAATAAAGGTTCTTGCTGTTATCACTGTGTCTTGCCTCATAGAATCATAGAGTTGGAAGAGACCACAAGGGCCATCGAGTCCAACCCCCTGCCAAGCAGGAAACACCATCAGAGCACTCCTGACATATGGTTGTCAAGCCTC